ATGATTGCGTCACGCCATTCCTGCAGATTTCTCAGGTGCACTTTCATGCTGCGACTCTCCCATTCTACCACATCCCAAAAAGGTGTTCTATTGGATTCGTCATAAACTCACTGAATAAATATCAGGCTGCACTGAATGAGATGGAGTAAATGTGAACCCACCGACGCAGGCAGTCTGTGAGTGTGGTGGAGCCAGTCATGTGACCCTCTCCATTAACCACAGCACTGTCGCCTCCCGGACTCAGGGGCCAGAATGGCGTGGATGAGCCGGGCAGGTCCAGACTGATGTCCCAGAACGGGTCTATCGTAGTGGAAACACCACTGCAATAGAACAGAAGCAAGTGTTTACAGGATGTGTGTTTATATACATGTGCATATATTAGTGCCAATATACAGTTATATCATATATCATGACTGTCATGAGTCACACTACAAATTACAGTCACTGTTCCATTTGGGAAGAGATTGCTTATGAAGACAGCATCGATTAGCAGTGTTTGTGTCCTGAATTTTGATGAGTGCATGTTTACCTACAAGCAAAATGCTGGTATCAATGTATATGTGAATGCCTGGCCTTCACCTAAGCCTTTGCAGTTCGAATAAATGCCATAAACTCCCGGGACCTGGATCAAGACTTGCATTGCTCACTCTTGTAAATGCATGCCTTTCCTAGTAGCTACCTATTTTTTTTGCATTAGACACTGAATTATATGCTTTAATATAAATAACCAGACAATAAGCTAAGGGCAGCATGGTGATGCAGTTTGTAGAGCCTCAAAGCTCTGGGGTCCCACTTCTCCTTGTGTTTGCATGGGTTTTGTCTGTTGTTCTTCTGTTTCCTCCCACATCCCAAAAACATGCAGGTGGACTGGCTATACTGAACTGCCCCTAGGTGTGAATGAGCATGAGAATTTGTGGGCTGGTGTCTCATTCAGGGTGTATTTCCACCTCTCACCCTGTGTGCCCATGACAGGCTCTAGAGCCACTGTGACCCTGTCCAGGCAGTTACTGAGGATAAATGAATGAATGAATAATAAGCTGAGAATTTAGGGGTTGACCCGATAAAACAATAAGAATGCTGCTCAGCCAAAGAGGACAATTACCTCAGAGGCTTTGCAAAAGAACCAAAAGTACTAGGATTAATACGATTTAGCACAAAAACAAATGTTCACTGTTTCACATCAAAAATGTAAATCGATCCTCTTGATTAAGAAAGGAAACAAAAGAGGCAAAGGATCTTCAAAATAAGCAATGATAAGCAATCATTTGTGCAATTGAAATAAACGCCCAGACAGAGGCACTAAACGGACAGACACAGGAGAGGGAGGGAATGACACACACAAACAGCTAGAGTAAATGTGTATATATACAAATGAGTGGGTACAGGCAGACTGAGCTTCACAGTGTATTCCCTTTTGGGCCCTTGGCAAATATATGCATGTGTACAGACGCGCACGCACACACAGACAGACGCGCACGCACACAGTCACACAGTTGGCCTTACTGGCAAACTTGACAGGTCACATCTGACTGTAGTCCGCCAGTGAAGATTTGGTCAATGATGCAGTTACAGTGATTCGGATTGTTGGCTTTCTTCCCGTTGTCATCATCTGAGAGAGAGAGAGAGAGAGAGAAACATATTCAACATGTGTTATCCTTAATTTTATCCTCTATTTTATCCTTAATTTAACTTTAAATTTGTTTTATTGTTTCTTTTGTTTATAGTTTCTTACTACACTGCATTGCAATTGAAACCACATTTCATATTTCCCCTTCTAAATGCCATCTACCTTTGTCAGTCTGCATTTTTAAAATCGGTCACTTTTTTATGTCTCACTTATTTATACCTCAGGAGTGTGAAATGGGTACAGGTCTTTTCAGTCATTTGAATGAGACTAGAGCAAAGTCAAGCACCATCTGGCACAAGCCTGAATACGGAGAACATTCCCAGTATATCTAACAACAAATCTTTCACACTTAATCTGCTAACTGAAGTCACCCACTCTGGCTTTACTTTCCTTAGGCTAGATTCAGTGTGTGTGTGTGTGTGTGTGTGTGTGTGTGTGTGTGTGTGTGTCACCTTTGCAGTGGCGGTGCAGCACATCCAGGGCGGCGATGAGGAATTCATGTGCATCCTGCTGCTCATAGCCGGCCAGGTGACGTGCATGTGTCCACACCAGGTGCAGCAGCCGGTATGGGATGTGGGGAGACCGGTGGCCCGAATAGAACTTAAGAGAGACAGAGACCAACAGAGACAGAGATAGCGATAGATAGATAGATAGATAGATAGATAGATAGATAGATAAAGACAGAGAGCAATTTCTGACTACTGATCCAGTTTAACATCTTTGCCGAGTCTAGAAGCAAACCCGATTCAACAAGTTTAGAAGAAAATATATTCACACCCTCCCTCTGTGGCCTCCATCTTTCCATTTCACTCTCTGTTCTCCATCTTTTCATCTCTGTTAATGATGGAGTTATTTTTTCTTCTTGTCTCCTGGCAGTATTCACACACTTCACAGCTCTTTAGCGCACTAAACATGTGTGGAATAAGAAAGAGCGTGTGGAGTCGTGGCCATCTGGACCACCTGTCAATGTTCGGGTTGCCACATTAATGATGTCACACGCTCCTCACTTTTCCATACTCTTTCAATACAATGTACTCAGCTGTAGTACGAAGAATGGTATGTATGGGAGAGGTGGTATTAGGTGATAGTGATTTTTTTTTTCCCCCCAGCATCTCCAGAATTGTTTTTTTTTTTTTTGGCCAAAAACTTACAGCTTTAGGAACAGTGACACAGAAACAAACTTTGCCAAAATTTAAACCCATAAACTCATGCTTGCCATGACAACCAGACCTGGACCCCCAACCACAACACACACACTATTGCTGCATTCGACTGAAGGTTGTAACTCATACTTTCTGAACCCTGATTAGGAAAAAACAAAGAAAATGCCCTCTTCCTATCTCCGAGTTCAGCAGGTGATGTCAGTTTAACATGGCTGCTGACAGCACGAATAGTAAACAAAGTAGTCCTTATGGAGTCCCTAACAAAAGTCTTACTTTTAAATGAATCATGCTGTATATATACACAACTACTTGCTTTAGATCAATCAACACATGGAATATTAGCTTGTTAAATCCATAACACTGACTACATCGTTTGCTGTTTTGAGGGGGTAAAGATACATCACTCATCACAGTTAGCTGACTAGCTACACAGGAAGGCATTAATGTTTTTCCCCACTTTGTAGCTTGAATGCAGAGAGGTCGAAAATGACAAAATTCCGAGTTCCCACTTCCGAGGTAAGTTGAATGCAGCGTATCTCTTACACCCATTAGGCTCACCTCTTGAAAGAGCTGAGACATCTCACACACCAGGCAGGAGTTTGCCTGCATCTCACACTTGTGCCGGTCCGACAGGAAAAAGTCACGCAGCAGGGGCGTGTGTGTGAGTGCCTGCACAATGCAGTTCATGAAGCATGTGTTGCCCAAGTTGATCAAGCCCCGTAAACCTGAGGAAAACATGTGAGTGCAACAGTCAGACCTCCAAACAGATCAATAACAACAGACAGAGTACTACATGAACACAAAATGTGAGTGAGATGACCCAGGCAGAGCAACATAGGGAAAAATATTTTCCTATGATGCCACACTGACTATACACTCTTCATTCACAGCAAACAACCTATTAACCCTAGGTTAATGATACACACACACACACACACACACACACACACACACACACACACATTATAATGGATTTGAAATAGAACAATCAAGATGTGATCGAAGTGTAGACTTTCAGCTTTATTTTAAGAGGCTCCACAAAAATATGGCATTTACCATTTAGGAATTACAGCCATTTTCAGGGGCTCAAAGGTATTTGGACAAAGTGACATAATTGTAAATATAACTATAATTTTAATACTTGGATGAACATCTCCTGAAGTTTGGAGCCCATGTTCTCAAAACTCAGATTCTGAGTTTCCTCCCTGGAGATGCTTTGCCAGGCCTTCACTGCAGCCACCTTCAGTTGCTGCTTGTTTGTGGGTCTTTCTGCCTTCAGTCTTGTCTTCAGTAAATGAAAAGCATGCTCTATTGGGTTGAGATCAGGTGACTGACTTGGCCATTGAAGAATATTTCATTTCTTTGCCTTCAAAAAGTGTTGAGTTGCTTTCGCAGTATGTTTAAGGTCATTATCCACCTGCACCGTGAAGCGGCGTCCTATCAGTTTTGTAGCATTTGGCTGAATGTGAGCAGAGAGTAAAGCCCTATACACCTCAGAATTCATCTCGCTACTTCTGTCAGCAGTCACATCATCAATAAACACCAGTGAGCCCATTCCATTGGCAGCCATACATGCCCATGCCATAACACTGTCTCCACCATGTTTGACACATTATGTGGTATACTTTGGATCATGAGCTGTTCCTTTCTTTCACCATACTTTTCTCTTCCCATCGTTCTGGTACAAGTTAATCTTGGTTTCATCAGTCCAAAGAATCTTATTCCAGAACATAGGAGGCTTTTTTAGATGTTTTCTGGCAAAGTCTAATCTGGCTTTCCTGTTCTTGAATGTTACCAGTGGTTTGCACCTTGTTGTAAACCCTCTGTATTTACATTCATGAAGGTGTTTCTTGATTGTAGATTTTGACAATAATACGCCTACCTTCTCCAGAGTAGTCTTGACTTCTGTTGATGTTGTGAAGGGGTTTTTCTTCACCAAGGAAAGGATTCTGTGATCATCCACTTTAGTTGTCTTCCGTGGTCTTCCAGGCCTTTTGATGTTGTCGAGCTCACCAGTGCTTTCTTTCTTTTTAAGAATGTACCCAACTGTTGATTTGGCCACACCTAAGGTTTTTGCTATCTCTCTTATAGATTTATGTTGTTTAAAGCTGAAAGTCTACACTTCCCTTCCTGATGCAACTCTCCCTAATTTTATCCAAGCTTGGGACTGGCACTGAGAGTGCACTGTTGCACGCAACCCCAGTGGCCAGTTCCCTGGCCAGGAATCGAACCCAGGCCGCAGTGGTGAGAGCGCTGTGAGTAACAGGCCTAACCACTAGTCTTCCAGGGACCACACTCTGACTCCAGGTACATGTCACATATTCTTTCTCTTACACACACTAATCCCCTCCACCTGCCCTCTCTGATTTACTGATCACACCATAGGAATTTGTAAATTGACTTGGTATGGGTGTGATAGAGATATGATGAATGAGTCTGTGCTGTGTTGAAGACGAGCCAGCCTGTGAGAAACTGTTTTGTGTGTGAGATCGAGAGAGAGAGAATTAGCCTTTCTATCCCACAATGCTTCAACTGGTACAAACAAATAAATATACTATATGGCCAACCATTTGACCATCACACCAATACATCGTTCTTCCCTAAACTGTTGGAACCACACAATTGTACAAACTGTAGCATTACATTTTCCCCTCATTGGGACTAAGGGGCCCAAACATGTTCCAGCAAGACAATGCCCCTGTGCAAGGTTGGAGTTGGCAAGCACTTGAGTGGCTTGCAAAAAGCCCTGACCTCAATCCCACTGAACACCTTTGGGAAGAATTGGAATGCAGACTGTGTGCCAGGCCTCCTCACAACATCAATACATGACCTCACTAAAGCTATTGTGGTTGAATGAGCAAATCCTCACAGCCAAGCTCCAAAATCTAATGGAAAGCCTTCCCAGAAGAGTGGAGGTTATAATAACAGCAAAGGGGGTCTAAATCTGGAATGGGATGTTCAAAAAGCACATTAGTGTGGTGGTCAGGTGTCTGGCTGTGTAGTGTAGTGTATGTGTGACATGCAATACCTTGTATTTGGCATAAGGCAATTTATTTTCTGAATTTTAGAAAGCCAGTACTGCTTTAGGACATTGGGAGCTAAACAGGTGAATGCAGCATTTTGGGGTCAAACTACATTCTTGAATGGTCACAAAAGAAGGAATATGGCAGAGGAATAAAAATAGGATGAGAGCCAGTGACACAGAGAGGCAAGTATGTGTATTTTACGGCTGTCCAAGACAATTTTCTCTATTGCTATTTAATATTTTTTAATAATAAAAAGTATTAGGTGACAAGATCCCAGGTTCTACATTTAGTTACCTACAGTAAGTCTATAGAAACACAATTCCTAAACCTTTTTTGCCAAATTATCGTTGGGGCTTGACAATGTCTGAATAAGTGCATATACACTGCCCTCCAAAAGTTTGGAAACGCCTGAACAAAATAGGGTTTTGGGGCGATATCAGCATAAATCCTCTTTAGTTAGTGACCATTTTGCATTGATAATAAGGGACAACACAAACTATGAAAACATATTTTATTAAATAAAAAGTTTATGAACATAAACATGAACATAACATAGAAAAATACTCAAATTTTGGATTCATCAAAGAAATCCCCATTAGCAGCTATTACAGCTCTACATACTCTAGG